TTGTACTATAAGCATGTTAGATTGGTACAGTGGTTCCAGTCTGGTCAGCCTCTGTGAATGAAAATGGTGATTATGAATATCCACACACTAAAATCTGAATGTATGATCTCCTTTCGAGTTTCCAAAACTATGTAGGATGAGGAAACATCAAAACCTTGCTGATTTCTGTTGGGTGTGGTTTAGGGCAGGTTCACACCATTTTCCAGACTAGATCTGGACCAGATCTAGAACGCAGTACATTGCGTTTATGCTGCATTTTTATCGGCATTTTGCAGCGTTCGGGAGGTTTTTTTTTTTAGCTTAAAATGGTCTTACAGGTACGTTCGTGCGTTTTTGATGCGTTTCAGTGCATTCCAGACCAGACAAAATAAGACAAGCAGTATATTTCTGGTCTGGAACGGACGGCGCTGATGTGAACAGAGGCCAGAAATAGCATAGGGATACATTAGGATGCATTTTGGGTCCGGAAGCAATCTGGTCTGGTCTGGAGATGATCTGGATGTGGTGTGAATGGGCCCTTAGCGGCGCACTCTGGGGGTGGTAATTTAGTGATCAGTGCCCACACACACACACACACACACATCACCCATACACAGACAGGGGCAAGGTGTGTGTGTACTGTTGTGCAGTGGCGTCCCGAGGTTGGGTGACACCCGGAGCGGTGTCCGAGTGTCACCCCGCCGATACGTCATCGCGCACGTGCGGCCGTATTCCGATACCTGCCGGCGGCCATCTTGGTTATGGACGCCGGTGAACACCGGCAGAGAGAGGAGGAGACAGTCACCCGGCGGTATAAGGTATGCCGCCGGTTCCCCTCCTCTCTCCTGATACTGTCGGGCGCTCGGTCCATGACTTTTCAAGAGGGGGGTGACACCAAAATGACTGTAAGTCATTTTGGTGTCACCCCTCCAATGGTGTCACCCGGGTGAGGGCCGCACCCCCGCACCTCCCTTGTGACGCCACTGCTGTTGTGCAGTGTTTATGTCTGGTTGGTAATTGTTCCTGTAGCTATTCTTCTCTTAGACACTATGGGCATTTTTACTCCCATGATTTCCACATAGGTTTCAGAGTGGCCGTTCACACTAACTGCATGCTAAACCAGTTTTAGCATGTGGGCTATTGTCTGCTGCGTGCCAGTCACGATGTAGAGGCCCTATGTCTAGGTTCACACCTTTGGGTCTGCATTTACCTGTGTTTTTCTTATGTGCATTTTTTGCACTACTATTGAAGCCTATAAGGCCAAAAACACGTTGATGTGCTAAAAATTGCACCTGTACTATTTTTCCCAACTCACAGCTGCATACAAAGATCAACAGGCTATGAAAAAGAACTGCTATCCTCTTGTTTTGTAAAAATGCATGTTAGGAAACCCAAATTAAATTGCAAAGGAGTGAATGGGGCATAACGTATACAGTACCTCCAATGTAAATATTTGTGTGAAGATGTACAGGCATGCACATGTTAAACAGACATCAAAGAAGAAAACCGTGATGCATTTCATACAGGATTACAATTAAGCACTTTGTGCGAAACGCATCAAGCTTTCTTCCTTGATGTCTGTTCAATCTCTTCTTGATCCTTGTGATTAGGCACATTGTGCAAGATGCGTCAAGGTTTCTTCTTTGATGCCCCTTTAATTTCACATGAAATCTTACGGTTGAGCAGGACAGACGAGGTAGAAAACAGTTTCATTTTAATGGAATGTTGCTGAATATAGCGGGAGTTGGAACCAGGCAGTGCCTGAAAACTGTGATCCTTGAAGCGAAGGGGATGTAAAGCTACCTCCCCTGCAACAGCATCGTCTTTGTTGTCTACACCCCTGGTGCCCAACTTGCCGCCCTTTGGTAGTCAAATGGTTTTGTTTATTCCTTTCTTACCTTTTTTAGTTCTGTATTTTCTATTTTTTTAAGTTTATTATTTTAATCTTCAGTTATAATAGCTCTTGCTAACAGAATGATCAAATGTGGAATAAGTAACTCTTAAGGGGGCTGTAGGGAGTACAAATGTAGGACTCTGGAGACTCTGATGTCACGGGGTGCTCCAGGCACTCTGATGCAAGGGGGACTTTAATGTTAGGGGGACCCTAGTATGTCTTACTTCAGAGCCCCCCTTTACAATAAAGTCCCTATCGGCACGAGGCGCTTGCGAACACGCCCGAGCTCATCACTAGTAGTGAATGCACTGGGTTTGAATAGACTCTGAGGGTGTGCATCCTGTCAGACAGCCAGACATAACCCAGCCCAGGTGCTCCAAATAGGCCCATCATTCTGCGGAGGTCTGGACTGCCGTCTACCATTTAGTATCCCTGTCCTATAGTATGTTTACAGTCTCTGATAATCTCCTGTAGAATGTCTGCTGTCATGGATCATCTCCTGTAGTATGTCTGCTACCTCTGACCATCTCCTGTAGAATGTCTGCTGTCATGGATCATCTCCTGTAGTATGTCTGCTATCTCTGACCATCTCCTGTAGTATGTCTGCAATCTCTGACCATCTCCTGCAGAATGTCTGCTGTCATGGATCATCTCCTGTAGAATGTCTGCTGTCATGGATCATCTCCTGTAGTATGTCTTCTACCTCTGACCATCTCCTGTAGTATGTCTGCAATCTCTGACCATCTCCTGTAGTATGTCTGCAATCTCTGACCATCTCCTGTAGAATGTCTGCTGTCATGCATCATCTCCTGTAGTATGTCTGTTACCTCTGACCATCTCCTGTAGTATGTCTGCTACCTCTGACCATCTACTGCTGTATGTCTGCTACCTCTGACCATCTCCTGTAGAATGTCTGCAATCTCTGACCATCTCCTGTAGAATGTCTGCTGTACTGACCATCACCTGCTGTATGTCTGCAGTCTGTGACCATCTCCTGTAGTATGTCTGCAGCCTGTGACCATCTCCTGTAGTATGTCTGCAGCCTGTGACCATCTCCTGTAGTATGTCTGCAGTCTGTGACCATCTCCTGTAGTATGTCTGCAGTCTGTGACCATCTCCTGTAGAATGTCTGAAGTCTCTGACCATATCCTAAAGTATGTTTGCAATCTCTGACCATCTCCTTTAGTATGTCTGCAATCTCTGACCATCTCCTTTAGCATGTCTGCAATCTTTGACCATTGCCTGTAATAGTCTGTAGTCTGTGACCATCTCCTGTAGTATGTCTGCAGCCTGTGACCATCTCCTGTAGTATGTCTGCAGCCTGTGACCATCTCCTGTAGTATGTCTGCAGTCTGTGACCATCTCCTGTAGAATGTCTGAAGTCTCTGACCATATCCTAAAGTATGTTTGCAATCTCTGACCATCTCCTTTAGTATGTCTGCAATCTCTGACCATCTCCTTTAGCATGTCTGCAATCTTTGACCATTGCCTGTAATAGTCTGTAGTCTGTGACCATCTCCTGTAGTATGTCTGCAGTCTGTGACCATCTCCTGTAGTATGTCTGCAGTCGCTGACCATCTCCTGTAGTATGTCTGCAGTCTGTGACCATCTCCTGTAGAATGTCTGCAATCTCTGACCATATCCTAAAGTATGTTTGCAATCTCTGACCATCTCCTGTAGTATGTCTGCAATCTCTGACAATCTCCTGTAGCATGTCTGCAATCTCTGACCCTTGCCTGTAGTAGTCTATAGTCTCGGACCATCTCTAGTAGTATGTCTGCAGTCTCTTACCATTTCCTGTAGGTCAGGGGCGTATCTGCTGCGAGGCAAACAAGGCGTTTGCCTTGGGGGGAAGTTTTCAGGGGGGCGGCAAAAATGCTGCCCCCAAAACAGTTAGGCAGCCGGGCGGAGTCAAAAGACGCAGATGAGGAGGTGATAGGAGGCGGGGCAGCATGAGGGGGCTGGACAATGTAGTAAGCCGGGTCACCGAAGAGCCGTCGGGCTGCGGAGGAGGCCGGGTCCTGCAGCACCAGTCCAGAGGTGGGGGAAGCCGGGGACCAAGCAGCAGATAAGAGGATCACACTGCTGCTAAAGGGACCCTGCAGAGCCCAGCATGGATTCATGGATTCAGCACAGTCCACCTGAGAGTCTCAGTGGGCTGTGCAGGATCCGTGGTGGGCTCTGCAGAGTCTCAGTGTGGCTTTGCAGGATCTGTGATGGGCTCTGCGGGGTCTACGGCAGAGCCCACCACAGATCCTGCACAGCCCACCTGAGATCCTGCAGATTTAGTGGGGGTTTGGTCTTGCCTAGGGCAACCCCGAACCAGAATACACCATCTCCTGCTGTATGTCTGCAGTCTCTGACCATCTCCTGCTGTATGTCTGCAGTCGCTGACCATCTCCTGTAGTATGTCTGTAGTCTCTGACCATCTCCTGATGTATGGCTGCTGTCTCTGACAGCTTTCCATAGCATCTCTTTGGGGGAATGTTATGTGTGGCATTTTTTTCGATGTCGGGGGCCACACGTGAGACCCCTTGATGAAGAAAGCGGACCAGCTGTACTCTATACAGAGCCTTCACTATAACAGAAAGCAGCAGTTTGTACAATGCTGATGATTCCCGAGCAGCTCCCAGCAGTTGTACTCCTCTGAGGAAAAGCAGGTTCACCATCTGGCCCTGTATTTATCAGCAGCTACAGCTTTAACAAGGTGCTGACCTAGGATGTGACGTGCACTATACTAATGGGAAAATGAAGCCGGCTGCCTTTGTCCTTACAATGTATTTATAAACATTAATAAACGGGGGTGGGGGGGATTCGTTTTATTTCTCATCAGACCATATAAAGTAATAGAATCGTCTGCAATCAGGAGAGACCTGGAAGAATATAGAGGGAGCAGAGACCCAGGGGGAGGATCCTGATTGGACGCGGAGGTATCACCTGACAACCCGGAAGTGTGAGGTGAAGATAAACACAGAGGAGAGGGGCTGTCAGGAGCTGTGGGGTGACAAGAAGGACGATTATTACAGAGAAGGTATTGTACAATATGGGGTGCATGGACTGTGCTGTGGTTTATACTACAAGCTCTGGGAAGGATAGAGAAGATGGAGGCAGAGAAGGACGGATTGCTGGGATTTAGACTGGTCACCATGGCAGCACTTGTATATACTGTTGTAGGAGGAGAATAGACCTGACTGCAGGCATCACTTCCATTCAGAAATATAGGTGAGCTATCAACAGCAATGCACATTCAGCCTGCCCGCTGTGTACATACATGATGTGTGCACACGGGGACATATGAACACACCAGTAATGCTGGGCATACACTATATGATCAGATTGTACTATCTGCTTCTAGCTGACTACACACTAAGCAATCTGACTGCACAATCACCTTAAAGATGATCTGATTGTACAAAATGCAACAAGCTAATCAAAACAATACGATCTGACTGTACAATCTCTTTTTAAGAAGGCCATACACTATGTAATCTGAGGCCCCATTCACACTGAGCGATTCGCAAATCGCACAATTGTTTGATGCATTGGAGAGCGATATTGCGCGGTAAATAGCCACGATATCGCGGGAATTACCGCGTGATAAATCGCTCAGTGTGAACGGGGCCTTAATGTTCAATCTTTTTTAAGAAAACCATACACTGTACAATCTGATTGTATAATCCTCCTTAAGCTAGCCATACACAATATGATCTCATTGTACAATCGCCTTTTAAAATGGTCATACATTATACAATTTGATTTGTAAAATCTCCTTTAACCCTTCTGCTTCCAAGGTTTTTTTTTGCATTACTTAAACTCCCCAAAACATGATATATTTTGTGAAAGCACAGACCCTGGAAAATTAAATGGCGGCAGTTGCAAATTTTTATGTTTTACAATATTAGCGCAACTCTTTATCAAACCCCAAATTTTAGTAAAAAAATATGCATAACCGCTTCCCGGCAGGCTGTTGTAATTAAACGGCCAGCTGGGAGCTTCTTGGATCTGAGCAGGCGTCTAAAAATGTCCGGTTAGCTGTCAAAAGTTTTAAACAGGCAACTATGCCTGTTTACATACAAGCGATCTGGTGGCTATAGAGCCAATGGATCGATTGTATTTGATGCCGGTCAGTGCGCTGCCCCCACCCTCTGCAGCGCTGGTCTCAAGCTCTGCTGTGCCCAGGGCAGCTCTGTGAAAGGGGATCAGAGGAAGATCAGCACATTCTCCTTTCGATCTCCTCTCTGGTGTCAGAATGGGGGAAGTGATGTATATTACATCACTTCCACATTCTGCTGTCACTCTACGGCTACAGAAGCTGATGAAGCAGATCTCTGCTTCATCAGCTTCTTTGGGGGTCCCTTGGTGACATTAGGGGTCACCTAATGTCTCCATAAAGAGGACCTGTCACATCCTCTTCACTATCACATAGGGGGTTTCTTAGCCCTCTATGTGATAACAATAAAGTTAGGTGAAAAAAAGTCTGTAAAGTCCCCCTCCCCCCCCAAAATTAGTCACACATAAAAAAGAATTAAAATAAAACCCACATACACGCGCGCAAACATGCGCATACGTGCTAAAACGACAATTGCGCCCATTACGCCGAACATGTTACATATCACTGCGAAAATCAGAGTGAGGGCAATAATTTATGGGCCATCAATCACTGTTAACACTAAACTGATGAGTGGTAACAGCTTTTAAAGCATCGCCTATGGCCAATTTTGGGTATGGTAGTTTTTATTGCAATTTCGTGGGTGCGCGCAATTTTAAGGCTTGACATGTTTCGTGTCTATTTACCCGACGTAAACGGGAGGACACAAGCTAGCGTCCTCCCGTCACCCAAAGGTCAGTATACCGCTAGCTACAGCTCTCGGTATACTGAGATGCCGCAGCTGTGACAGATCCCGACTTTACTGTCGAGATCCAGTCAGCTGCGGGATTGACAGCGCGCTCTGTCTATCTAGAGACAGAGCCAGCTGTACCCGCCCCCTTCCCTTGTCCGTTCCGCCAGTCAGCGCTGGAAGATCGGACAGGGGAGGGGGGAATCCCTGCAGGGAGCCATGAGTCACGGCTCTCTGCAGGGACAGATCGGGAAGTGAGCGAGCGCCAGCATGTGTTCGCTCACTTCTCGATCTTTTGAGCCGACTTGTGACAGTCTCATTGTCACAGGTCGGCTAGAACTACGAGGCTGAGTGATTTTCACTCGCCTCATAGTTCTCCTTAAGTTCATTTTAGTGCCCCAAAACACAATACCCCAAATTATCCATTGGTGACGCTTTGAAAGCCCGTACAGGTAATTCATTTGGAGATGTTTATGAATATTGGCCCTAGAATTATTGCTCTCACTCTGCCACATGTGGTGATGCCCAACATGTGTGGCGTGATCGTAATTTTCGTATGTAGGTGTACCCGTTGCTTGTTAACGTTACTTTTAAAGCATGCCAACTGCCAAGGTTGCCAGTGGATTTATTTCAGCTCTCAACCAAACTTTCAAGGCCTCAAATGGCTGGTGTCATAGTTGATCACATGCCCAGCACCATGGCAACTACAACCAAAATAGAGGCTAAGATGGCACCTTCTTTTGTTGTAAGGGAAAGGAGGGTGTAATTCAGGTTTAAAGCTGGCCATACACCTATAGATTATCTGCAGATTTTCTATGGTCAGATGGAAAAAGTGCAACAGATTCTTCCATCTATGCTAAACTGTGTGGATGGAGGAATCTCCCACTGGGCCAAGCTTCAGTATCTTGCTAGTTGACCCCACTGGTTCTCAAAATACCTGAACAATGCCTGCAACCAATCAGATTGCTCAGGTATTTTGACGCTAGTTCTGGTGACCCTGTTGACCACCAGGGATTTCCCTCACTTTGAAGGGATTTCTGCTCCTTTCCTGTTGTGGCTATCAGACAGGAAGTAAAGGGAAATCTCCCCCAGTGGGACACAGATGACATGATGTGACTGTGTGAAGTTAAGTAAAATATAAATATATGGTAAATGTAAAAAAATGAAAATCCCCCTCATCTTCCCAACCCTACACACATGGACATACAGTACATGCACATATACACTATATTGCCAAAAGTATTGGGACACCCCTCCAAATCATTGGATTCAGTTGTTCTGTGAAATTTCCTTGCTACTAAATATTCCGCGGTCACCTGTTAGTGGTATTATAACAAAGTGGAAGTGACTGGGGACAACAGCAACTCAGCCACAAAGTGGTAGGCCATGTAAAATGACAGAGCGGAGTCAGAGCATGCTGAAGCGCACAGTGCGCAGAAGTTGCCAACTGTCCGCAGAGTCAATAGCTACAGACCTCCAAACTTCGTGTGGCCTTCAGATTGGCACAACAACAGTGTGTAGAGAGCTTCATGGAATAGGTTTCTATGGCCGAGCAGCTGCATCCAAGCCTTATATCACCAAGTGCAATGCAAAGCGTCGGATGCAGTGGTGTAAAGCACGCCGCCACTGGACTCTAGAGAAGTGCAGACGTGTTCTCTGGAGTGACGAATCACGCTTCTCTGTCTGGCAATCCGATGGACGTGTCTGGGTTTGGTGGTTGCCAGGAGAACGGTACTTGCCTGACTGCATTGGCTTGGCCCCTTAGTGCCAGTGAAGGGAACTCCTTAAGGCACCAGCATACCAAGACATTTTGGACAATTTCATGCTCCCAACTTCGTGGGCACAGTATGGGGATGAAATAATGAGTGTGCAGCGCTGTAGGTGTTTTATGTGTTACACATCTATTAACGTGCTAAAATCCCTACAATGGGTAAAGTGTAATCCCTTTTTCAGGGATATATACATATGAAAAAATTTTGTTTTAAACATTTGTATTTTTATTTGTTTAAACACAATTTATTCATATTTATATATCCCTTAAAAAAGGGATTACACTTTACCCATTGTAGGGATTTTAGCACGTTAATAGATGTGTAACACATAAAACACCTACAGCGCTGCACACTCATTATTTCATTGTCGTTAAAAATTATAGCGCAGCAGCTTTAACACTTAACCCTTCCATAAGCGCAGATTTCACATTTTTCACAGTATGGGTATGGCCCCTACCTGTTCCAACATGACTGCACACCACTGCACAAAGCAAGGTTTATGAAGACATGGATGAACGAGTTTGGGGTGGAGGAACCTGACTGGCCAGCACAGAGTCATGTCCTCAACTCGATAGAACACCTTTGGGATGAACTAGAGTGGAGACTGCGAGCCCGGCCTTCTCGTCCAACATCAGTACCTGACCTCACAAATGCGCTTCTGGAAGAATGGTCAAACATTCCCATAGACACACTCCTAACCCTTGTGGATGCCTTCCCAGAAGAGTTGAAGCTGTTATAGTTGCAAAGCGTTGGCCAACTCAATATTGAACCCTACGGACTAAGACTGCGATGCCATTAAAGTTCATGTGCGTGTAAAGGCAGGCGTCCCAATACTTTTGGCAATATAGTGTATGTAAGGATGAACAGACATACAGAAGCACCTTTTCATGATTTTATATTAAGCATCCTCCTGCACACTAGAGTAGAAAAACACTCTTGGAGTGATTATTTAGATTTAACTCTAAAACAATGATCTAAATGTGATGTTTTACCTACTTACAATATTTGGTAGTATTTTACCGTTTTGCATGCAATGTTGTGGCTGGATGTGTTTTGTAATAATGAATTTCAGTCTCCTCTTTTTCATTTAACAGTTTTGTAATATTATGTTTGATTGCACTAAAAAAAATCATTATATTTTCTGAACCAAATAGATTTTAGAAGCATTTGCGCAAGGTTTCCATTTCGCAGTGATTTTACCCTGGTTTTCCTTTTTTTTGGCTCCCCCAGCTGTTCTTTTATCACATCCAGCTGAACATTTCTACAGAGAACACTGACAAATATTTTAAGAGGAGGTAAGCCTGGAAGAGACTGGACAAGCAGAGGCACGGAATTCTGATTGGAGGAAGCAGGGTCAAATGATCGGCAGTATCACAACCAACTAGGAAGTGCGAGGATACAGAGCACAAAGAGGAGCTGTGGAATAATAAGCACAGATATAGAGAAGGTACATTACACTCTTCAGTGGATGGACTGTGCTGTGCTTTAAACTACCCAGAGCTCTGAAAAGAAAGGGTTTTATGAGATATGAATGTTGGATGACTGAATGGTATGGTATGAATTCCATCTTTGTGGATAGTGCTGTTCTTCTGCTCTGTTTGTTGCTGTCATC